TAATCTCTCAGTAGCTTTATTTCAGATCACTTTTAGATTACAAATGTGAGATTATTATCAGGTGAGCAATGCATGCCCATTGGGCCTCTTGTTGTTTTCTCAGTAGAAATATAACAAGTATATTTTACAAAACTGTGAATTCATTAAAGTACTGTCTGGATAGACGTGTCCTAATTTCTTTAGTGAATAATTGATATCTGGAATAGTCTCCCACAAGATGCTATTTCATCTCGTAATGTATTTGACTTTGAGAAAAACTTGGACGAATTCTGGAAGTTGAGTTGAAGTACAATGTACGATCATACAGCGCCTTATATACTAGTATAGGCTTATTTTATGTTTACCACAATGAATTTCAAACTATATTGATGTGGGTATAGAGGCAGCAATGCCTGCATCCACTTATATCCTATTTAATCCTATTAAATAATTGTAGCTTCTTCATTTAAAAAAGAAGGTATCACGAATCTATCTACCCAGAAATCCTTACACTATCGCCAAGCGCAACAGTAGCGAATCGACTATGGTAAGTACCTACTGAAGGGAAGTTTAATTACTACATGGTGTTTCTAGGAATTTTGATATGTAGAATTTCAAATATTATTGTTTACAGGTAAATTTCAAGATATGGATCTGACCACGGACTTAGATAACCCAATCTAATCTAATTCCGTGATCTGACGAAGAGAAGTGTGTTATACTCGCTCACTAAAGCTAACCGATTGCGAACGCCGAGATTGTGATAGGGACGTGTCACACAAACGCGTCTGATAAATAGAACATCAATGTAGCGTGACTCATCAAAGTAACTTTGTCGTTCCATGGTAAACAAATAGATAAGTTTCTCAGATAAAGACATATGTTATAACAAACCACCGAGTTATCACATTTGTAACTGTATGTTACAGAAGGAAATAGAACAACAGGACTAAATTGTTACATCTTACATTATCATGTCCGTATCACACTTTCAATGTCATAGTAATGTGTTACAACTTTCGGTTACTGTCGTAATGCACATTACATGTCCGTATCACACTTCCGGTTAATGTCATAATGTGTTACAACTTACATTATCATGTCCGTATCACACTTCCGGTTAATGTCGTAATGTGTTACAACTTACGTTATCGTTCGTAATGCCTTGTATCTTAATTTGAGAGAAAAGAACACGTCACGCGCAGGTGTATTCTACAGCGTGATTCTACCGCGTGTAACTTAATTCAATACACAATTTAATGATTGTATTGTTTGTTAGATATTCAGTCTGGATATTCGCGGGACCACATGAACCACAAGACCGCAAAAAATATACTTGGTTTGGTTTGGTTTAGTATTGTTTAACGTCCTATCAACAGCTATGGTCATTTAAGGACGGTCACTGTGTGCAGATGCATGCGTGTGTGTTTTGGGAGGCTGCGATATGTTCGTGTTTGTCTCCTTGTGATAGCGCGGAACTGATGCCGACTTTATAGTACTAGTGCTACCTCACCGAAACATACTGCCGAAGACACCCAGCAGGAAACCCCAACCGGTAACATGATACTGACAACGGGCGAACCAGTCGTCCCATTCCTAAATTGTTGAGCGTTTAGCAGAAGTAGAAACTACCATTTTTATAAACTCAGGTATGTCTTCGGCCAGGGGACAGAACCCAAAGCCTTCCTTATAGGGGCGAACGCTCAACTAAAGGCCAAAAGTGAGGCATTGGCAAGGGAGACCTTAGTAAGAAGAAAGTTGTTTAGAAAGAAGAGAAAAGATAAGATCCCAAATTTAGTCGCCTCTTACGATCATGCAATAGGGGCAGCAGGTACAGTTCTTACGCCCTACCTGAAGGGACATTATACTTGATGAAAAAATCGTACTGTACAGCAAGAGTAAGCGAAAATAAACTTTATTTCTTATTCGATATTGAGTAACGAATAAGGACATAACTTTACCGTGCTCAGTGATTAATATAATCTTCCCCTACCCTGAGTGTGTGACAGAAATATCCAACCCGAGGGGCGATGTTTTTTGGTTGTCTAACCCGAGGGTTAAAAAAACAAAAATAAATCACCCTGAGGGTTGGAGGATTCTATGTTACGCCCTTAAGGTAGGGGATGATTATTTTTCTTCCATCCTATTATTTTAGTCAACTCCAGTAGTATAAACAAAAACACATGTGGGGTATGACTATCGTCATTCAGTTTTGATGACGTCACAATTACCGGTGACGCGTTTTAATGACGTCACAATTGAACACGTGCTAATCGGCTCGAGGCTGTCTTCCCCTAGGGGGTGACAAGCTGATCTTTCCAGGATAAAACGGGAGACACATGTGAAGGATGGGAGAATTAGCGGTCTTAGACTATGAGCAGTTCATATGAATTGCCTCTTGTCGTACCTACAAAGGGTACAGCTACTGAAAACAGATATGAAAATACTTTGTGACTCACTTTAGTCCCGCCTAGTACTCGGAACAAAGAGCGAACATGATATTGTTACAATCAATTGTGAGAAACCTAACGTTTGCTTCGCTCGTAATTACCGTAACTTACACCACACATACTAGATAGTTGTGTTTGTTTCCATTGCTTTGTATATTTTGTTTGTCTCAGATCAGCTTTCGTCAGGTGCACACAATTTTAACCCCGTTTTCTAGGAGTAAATAACACGACGGGGTTATGTCTATATTAGTCGTTAAAGAACGTGTTCCTTATATAACTGTATACGTTATAGGCTGCCTTCCCATATCAAGGTGAGAACGATCCAGGTGGCACAGAATCGTCCTTCGTTAACGAAAGCACTACGATCGGATGGGGCGACCCCATAGACAGAGCTCAAAATGCGTAATTTCGGACCTTTGTGACAAATGAATAGCAATAAAAGGATATTATATTTGTTTGTTTCGCACGTGTTCTCTTTTTTTTTTAACTTTTCAGAAAACATGTGTGTGACTCGACTTTGTTCTACAAAAATTCAGTTTCGGCAAGGCACGTCTAGATTCCAAAGGTCGGCATCGATTTTTATTTTTCAATTGTCATTTTCTTTAAAAATTAGCCAGTTGAAACGGTTGAACCGGATACGCGAAAGCTGCCACAGTTTGATTTGATTTCATAACGACATAAGACACAAAACGTTCTTAAACTGATATCATAACGGCACCACCCAGACACAGAAGGACTTAAACTGATATCATAACGGCACCAACCAGACACAGAAGGACTTAAACTGATATCATAACGGCACCAACCAGACACAGAAGGACTTAAACTGATATCATAACGGCACCAACCAGACACAGAAGGACTTAAACTGATATCATAACGGCACCAACCAGACACAGAAGGACTTAAACTGATATCATAACGGCACCAACCAGACACAGAAGGACTTAAACTGATATCATAACGGCACCAACCAGACACAGAAGGACTTAAACTGATATCATAACGGCACCAACCAGACACAGAAGGACTTAAACTGATATCATAACGGCACCAACCAGACACAGAAGGACTTAAACTGATATCATAACGGCACCAACCAGACACAGAAGGACTTAAACTGATATCATAACGGCACCAACCAGACACAGAAGGACTTAAACTGATATCATAACGGCACCAACCAGACACAGAAGGACTTAAACTGATATCATAACGGCACCAACCAGACACAGAAGGACTTAAACTGATATCATAACGGCACCAACCAGACACAGAAGGACTTAAACTGATATCATAACGGCACCAACCAGACACAGAAGGACTTAAACTGATATCATAACGGCACCAACCAGACACAGAAGGACTTAAACTGATATCATAACGGCACCAACCAGACACAGAAGGACTTAAACTGATATCATAACGGCACCAACCAGACACAGAAGGACTTAAACTGATATCATAACGGCACCAACCAGACACAGAAGGACTTAAACTGATATCATAACGGCACCAACCAGACACAGAAGGACTTAAACTGATATCATAACGGCACCAACCAGACACAGAAGGACTTGAACTGATATCATAACGGCACCAACCAGACACAGAAGGACTTGAACTGATATCATAACGGCACCAACCAGACACAGAAGGACTTCAAATTCAAATTCATTTATTGACTTTGAGCTTTACAGCTCATTAGTATGTACACAATACATATAAATACAATATGACAATACTTAAACGTGATGTCATAATGGCGTAAAACATTGAAAGTTCATAAAAATGTCGTCAGAACGCCGTTTAACAGAGAAAGTTCCTTAAGTGTTATAGCGGTATTAAATACAGAAAGTTACATGAGTCTGGTGCAGACTTGCACGTTTTGATGAAGCTAATATGTTGAAGTTGCAACGGTGTTAGAATTTCAGGTGGAATTTGAATGAAGAAAAAGAAGTGAACTCATCAGAGGCTAGGACTGTCAATCAGCAGGTTGCTTACACTAGTTCAGCGAGTTCACTAGTTTAGCGAGAATGAGGCGAAACTTTGGGCATTAGTACCCAAATTCGTTATATCAGTCAGATGAAACTACTTTACGTAATAAGAGAGGATGACAGTGGGCTTAACTATTGTTGAAGAGTATAAAAATAAAATATTAAGAATTGCTCAAACTCATCGAAGAATCACTAATATAAGGCACTTTAAAAACCGGCACGGAGGAAACGATATCTCAATCGAATAGAGGATACGTCAGCCACTCCAATTTGGAATCAGCGAAAAGGGTAGCAGCTAAAATGTCAAGGTTTTGGAATTCTTTGGAAAAGTCGTTTATACAGACAAATGGGACACGAACAGCACGCCGATAAGACTCGGTCCTCTGCTTGGAGAAGTGCCCATATTTTTTTCTTAAGAGGCTTTTCTCCTCTCATTCTGTATTTTAACTCACAGCAAGAGTTGGTTTTGTATGAAGCATAAATTTGCATACATTTTAAAGCTGTTGTAAACACCTATTATAACGTCCCGTTGAAAGTAGAGTTAGGTATATACATGACCAATAGGCATGAAGTGACAAGCAGGTGTACATGTCACGCTGTTGGTTTACCTGTATAGACAGTTACCTGTAGACAGACTTACGACAGCTCTTCAAGTAATTTACTAAAGGACTTGACTCACAATCTAAAATTAAACATTTTGGAAATCTCCAATATATTCACAACTTTAGGTCACCCGGATGGTTGACCTGAGGTTCACTGGAAACAAATTAGAGACCAATGAAAAGTGTGGTTAACCGCGCTCTACACGGACTAAGTACTCGGGTTTGCTGTATAGACTACCGTGGAGGTATACACGTTAGAGGAAGTACGAGTAAATATAAGGTAACACTGTCTTATAGATTACATCGGCTATACAATTGTTAAATACTTATTGACATCAGTTAAAGTATTGATATATTTGACTGTCACTATCACAAAAATATACAAATCACACTTCGTGGTATTGTATTGACACTTTTCTTTGGTGTGTGTGTAGTGGTGAATTGTGAATGATTAATCTGCATAACTTGAAAGCTATAAGTATTAAGGATATTTGAGGTTTCATTATTATCTACATTTGATGATAATTGTAACTTAACACAACGTTCACGTAATCACATGCATCTTAATCTAATATAACCTCATAGTGTAAATGATTTTAATAAATATCTGATCATGAATAATAATAGTTAAATGTGGTTCTTATCTGATGACTTTTTTTATAATTTAAATGTAATTCTTATGAGCATGTTATTTTTCCGGCATGTTTCTAGCTATGTACATGTTGTTCGTAAGAATAACTCTTCAGAGCTAATTTTTCACGTCACATATACGACAAAAAAATGTTTCTTGTATCTTGTATCTAAAAAATAATGAAATTTTATTTACATTTACAATGACTATATAACTATGTACATGTATCCTGAACTACTATTATTCATGTTAGAACTCTTAACTGGTATCTTTACATTACACTTTACCCCGATAATGTATTGATCGATAAATATACGCTGCACAAGTTATATATAAACTTTTTTGTACGTGGAGACTATTATTGGTTTTTTTTTAAATACACCATGGTTATAATGCAATGTGTATTGTAGAACAACTTGGTGTGACACGTTTTGAACTTGTTCTTTGTAGCTTTGGAGTGATAACCATGCTTCTTACCATATATTTCATAATATCATGCTAATATATATATTTGCATATTTTCGGTAGGCTAACACTTTGTTTATCAGTCTGTCACCTTGTTACACAATACTAGCGAGGAATTTCTCTTTAGCTCGTTCGGTAGAGCGTCAGACTAGTAAACCAAAGGACCCGGGTCCGACTCCTAGCTAAGGCACTGACAAAATAATGACCTATTTACATTGTCGCCCACGTAGGGATCCGGGACATGTGTGACACAAATATTCAGTGATACTTTAATTTCACAAGAATCGANGGGGGGGAGGGGGGGAGTATGTAACCTTGGTGCAAAATACTAGAGTTAAGACTGTAGTCGATTCTCTATATTGCCACAGTGGCCTAATAATTTGTTACAGCAATATTTTGACCCAAACTAAGGTGTTCAGAGTAATCTTACACGTTTAAGCGTTTCAGATCAACTTTCGGTAAAATGGCAACCCCCAATGATCATTTCACTGTTCTACACAAGTTACATCAAATATGAGTGTATGATACCATATCATTTCACTGTACTAACCACAAGTTACATCAAATATTAGTGTATGAAAGCATATCATTTCTCTGTACAAACCACAAGTTACATCAAATATTAGTGTATGAAACCATATCATTTCTCTGTACTAACCACAAGTTACATCAAATATTAGAGTATAATAACATATCATTGCACTGTACAAACCACAAGTTACATCAAATATTAGATTAGAATAACATATCATTTCTCTGTACTAACCACAAGTTACATAAAATATTAGTGTATGAAACCATATCATTTCTCTGCACTAACCACAAGTTACATCAAATATTAGTGTATGATACCATATCCTTTCACTGTACTAACCACAAGTTACATCAAATATTGGTGTAAAATATCATATCATTTCACTGTACTAACAACAAGTTACATCAAATATTAGTGTATAATAACATATCATTTCACTGTACTAACAACAAGTTACATCAAATATTAGTGTATAATAACATATCATTTCAGTGTGAAATAACATATCATTTCACTGTACTAACCACAAGTCACATCAAATATTAGAGTATAATAACATATCATTGCACTGTACAAACCACAAGTTACATCAAATATTAGATTAGAATAACATATCATTTCACTGTACTAGCCACAAGTTACATAAAATATTAGTTTATAATAACATATCATTTCACTTTACTAACCACAAGTTATATCAAATATTAGTGTAAAATAACATAATTTCACTGTACTAACCACAAGTTACATCAAATAGTAGTGTAAAATAACATAATTTCACTGTACTAGCCACAAGTTACATAAAATATTAGTTTATAATAACATATCATTTCACTTTACTAACCACAAGTTATATCAAATATTAGTGTAAAATAACATAATTTCACTGTACTAACCACAAGTTACATCAAATAGTAGTGTAAAATAACATAATTTCACTGTACTAGCCAGAAGTTACATAAAATATTAGTGTATAATAACATATCATTTCTCTGTACTAACCACAAGTTACATCACATATTAGTGTATAATAACGTATCATTTCACTATAACATATCATTTCACTGTACTAACCACAAGTCACATCAAATATTAGAGTATAATAACATATCATTGCACTGTACAAACCACAAGTTACATCAAATATTAGATTAGAATAACATATCATTTCACTGTACTAGCCACAAGTTACATAAAATATTAGTTTATAATAACATATCATTTCACTTTACTAACCACAAGTTATATCAAATATTAGTGTAAAATAACATAATTTCACTGTACTAGCCAGAAGTTACATAAAATATTAGTGTATAATAACATATCATTTCTCTGTACTAACCACAAGTTACATCAAATATTAGTGTATGATACGATATCATTTCACTGTACTAACCACAAGTTACATCAAATGTTAGTGTATAATAACATATCATTTCCCTATACTAACCGCAAGTTATATCAAATATTAGTGTGAAATAACATATCATTTCACTGTACTAACCACAAGTTACATCAAATATTAGTGTAAAATAACATAATTTCACTGTACTAGCCACAAGTTACATAAAATATTAGTGTATAATAACATATCATTTCACTGTACTAACCACAAGTTACATCAAATGTTAGTGTATAATAACATATCATTTCCCTATACTAACCGCAAGTTACATCAAATATTAGTGTGAAATAACATATCATATCACTGTACTAACAACAAGTTACATCAAATATTAGTGTATAATAACATATCATTTCACTTTACTAACCACAAGTTAGATCAAATATTAGTGTATGAAACCATATCATTTCTCTGTACTAACCACAAGTTACATCAAATATTCGTGTAAAATAACATAATTTCACTGTACTAACCACAAGTTACATCAAATGTTAGTGTATAATAACATATCATTTCCCTATACTAACCGCAAGTTACATCAAATATTAGTTTGAAATAACATATCATATCACTGTACTCACAACAAGTTACATCAAATATTAGTGTAAAATAACATATCATATCACTGTACTCACAACAAGTTACATCAAATATTAGTGTATAATAACATATCATTTCACTTTACTGACCACAAGTTACATCAAATATTAGTTTATGAAACCATATCATTTCTCTGTACCAACCACAAGTTACATCAAATATTAGAGTATAATAAATATTAGTGTATGAAACCATATCATATCACTGTAATAACCACAAGTTACATCAAATATTAGTGTATGAAACCATATCATATCACTGTACTAACCACAAGTTACATCAAATATTAGTGTATGATACCATATCATTTCTCTGTACTAACCACAAGTTACATCAAATATTAGTGTATGAAACCATATCATTTCTCTGTACTAACCACAAGTTACATCAAATATTGGTGTAAAATAACATATCATTTCACTGTACTAACAACAAGTTACATCAAATATTAGTGTATAATAACATATCATTTCACTGAACTAACTACAGATTACATCAAATATTAGTGTAAAATAACATAATTTCACTGTACTGACCACAAGTTACATCAAATATTAGTGTAAAATAACATATCATTTCACTGAACTAACCACAAGTTACATCAAATATTAGTGTAAAATAACATAATTTCACTGTTCTGACCACAAGCTACATCAAATATTAGTGTAAATAACATAATTTCACTGTACTAACCACAAGTTACATCAAATATTGGTGTAAAATAACATATCATTTCAATGTACTAACAACAAGTTACATCAAATATTAGTGCATAATAACATATCATTACACTGTACTAGCAACAAGTTACATCAAATATTAGTGTATGAAACCATATCATTTCTCTGTAATAACCACAAGTTACATCAAATATTAGTGTATGAAACCATATCATTTCTCTGTACTAACCACAAGTTACATCAACTATTAGTGTATGATACCATATCATGATCATATCACTGTACTAACCACAAGTTACATCACATATTAGTGTATAATAACGTATCATTTCACTATACTAACCACAAGTTACATCAAATATTAGTACAAAATACAAGAAACTATCATTTCTCTGTTCTAACCACAAGTTACATCAAATATTAGTGTATAATAACATATCATTTCACTATACTAACCACAAGTTACATCAAATATTAGTACAAAATACAAGAAACTTTATTTAACGTCGCATACAGGTAAACAATGAACATTAGCTTTTGAGAGCTATTATTGCGACAAACATATGTAAAATAACAATAACATATTATATTGCAAGTAAATCACATATATTAAAAAAAACCCAGTAATAATCATCACAGAAAAAGTATACATATCCCAGGTTTCTAAGTGTATACTATCATATCATTTTACTATACTAGCGACAAATTTATTTTGATTGTTTAATAAAATGTCACTGAACAGAAATATCTACATATAAATCCTGCTGTAGTTAAATTGTTTTTATTGTATCACTGAACTAGACACATCTCTACATAAAAGTATTGGTGTACTTGTAATTTATCATGTCTCTGGATATTATTTTAATCAAATTGCAATGTCATAAGTATTATCTAACTATAATTATAATGGGCAAATGCATGGTTGTGTAAACATATCAAATATCTTTTGTATACCTCGGTGCGA